TCATACCAAATCGGAATAGATGCAATCCACAGGGTCACATCCTCTGTGAAAACAAAAGAAGACCCTTTCCAAAGCATCATGTCCTTAGACCCAAATTCTGAAGTCATAATACCCTCATGAAATCCATTTTGGTTTAGCTTGGTAGCCCATGTAATGAAATGTCTCTCTGTACTTAGCTCCTTCATAGTCAAAAAATTTAAAGAAAACACAATAATACAAAGAATCCAGACTCTCTGTGAATTTTCCATTTTTACGTAGCTTATTTTTCTTTATTTCTCTCAATCAATAACTATCTGTACTCTGTCTCTTTAAAGACTTTACCCCCTTTTTTTTAAGGGCAGTCGGTAGAGCATGGGACTCTTAATCTCAGGGTCATGGGTTTGAGCCCCACGTTGGACGCCAGATGAAGGCGTAAGTCACAAACAATGCCACACCAGTTTGGAATTATGATTAATAGGGTGGTATTTATTTAAAGAGGAAAAAACTTACAGATCACCGTCCCAGACAATAGCCCTCTGCGCAACCAGGAAGGGAGTCTAGTCACCAGCAGAGCAGGAAGTGAAGAGAGAGAGAGCTCCAGAGGGAAGGGAAGTAGCCGCTTTTTTAAAGGGAGAGAGACCACGCCCCAATGGGCTGGTATCTCAGCAGCTATTGGTTGGAGGAGTGGAAGGCCCTCCCGCAACACCTGTCACCTCTTGTTACTCCAGGTGAGTGCCCATTCAGGATAAACCACAAGTTAGGGCTCAGTCAGACCCAGTATCCACACAGCTGTAGAACCATTACAAGCATTCACCATTCATTCAGAAATTATACATTTTCATTTTAGATTCTCAGTCTGTCCATTTCCCTGCAGAACAATCCAACTTTTCCTTAGAGACTAGTGCCACCTCAGTATCCCATCAAGGCTATGGATGAAAATCTGTGGGGTAATGAACCCCATGTCAGTTTTCCTGCCTATCTCCCTGGGTTCTGAATGATCAGCTTAATCTCACCTTCTTCCAATTGGAGACTCCAGTCCTGGGTCTCACAGTCCCCATGACCACTGGAACAGAACCCTGGAATCCCATAGGCTTCCCAGTCCCAGAGACCTGGGAGATCCAAGAGTGGCAACTTTCTGGACCAACTAGGGTCAAGGTGAAGGAGATCTCATGGGCCGGGGGCTCCGGAAAGGTTGCAGATATCTTTCTGAAATAGGCACCCTAACCGCAATGAGAGGAGAGAGTGGAAGAGAGGAGATGTCACCAGCAGAGTGAAGCCAGGACAACTCCCGAAAGGCTTTGTTCCTGGGTCCCGTCTGTATTCTTATTTTACACTTTAGAACCACAAGGCGGGGTGGGCAAGCAAGCAAGCTTTACTGGAAACTTATGTAGCAGCCAGTAGGCTGTTCAGGGCAACGACTCATGCTTTAGCTATTTCTCCATGTCGTTCTGTTCCCGGAGCAAGTGAAATCATGCTTGGCAAATAGGTAGGACATGTAGTGCTGTCAGTGAGTCCCTAAATAAATCAATAGCCAGTAACCGGTCTTTCTACCTTATTCTGTGTCATAATCTTCAGGTTGGCTTAGGAGAAAATGCAAGATGTATAGTGTTATATCATTGTATGAAGAATAGGGGAAGAATAAAGTGAACTTAAGAACCATTCTTCCATGCTTAAAATATGTTCAAGAACATATGTATGAAACTCATTTGCCTGTGGGGAAGGTTACTTTGGTTGGGGATCCAGGTAGAAGGAAACCTTTCACTATCTACTGCATATATAATTCACTGGTGTTATTATTATGTATTTATTTATTATTATTATTATAGTGTTGTGATATGTATGTATAGGGTCTGTATATGCTTAGCATGTGTGTGGAGGTCTGAGAACAGCATGGTGGAGTAGGTTTTTTTTTTTTTTTTGACTTTTTGGAGATTGAGCTCAGGTCTTCAGGCTTGTGTGGCAAAGACTTTTATCTGATGAGCCACCCCATTGCCATATTGGTCCGCTAAATTAGAAACAGCATAATACCCTAGTGAATGTTAAACAGGAAAAGTCTGTTTGGACAGAGGTGGTTATACCCGATCTTTTAATTTTGTCGTTTACAATTTTCACCAATAGGTGACGCTCTGCAAACACCACGCTGTACTTTTTCCCCTTCACTGTTTTTTGTGAGGGTCTGGGGGTAGGGTGCCGTGACTTTAACACAGCGCCTCAAGCAAGCTTGACAAGTGCTCTACTACTGAGTTACACCACCACCTTCCCCAAGCTTGGACTTTTATTTTATTTTGAGAAAACCCCAGAATTTCTCAGACAGTTCTCTGCTTGCCACCTCTGCAGGTTAACAGTAGGGATGAAGATCTCTCTACCGGGCTCTCTCTAAAACACATTGCTTTGATCCTGGGATGGAAAGGGCAATACCTGGAATGAGAAAGAAAATTTGTAATTGGTCAGAAAACCAACTGATGTTTTCAAATCTGTGTTCCTGATTGACACTGGTGTAGGGCTGATTGGATCAGAACTTCTGATTCGTTGTTGGGCTTATTTTAGAAGTTCATAAGGTGATTTTTTCCCCCACTAGATCAAGATAGCTAGGAACTCACAGGGAACTACCTCTGCTTTCAGAGTTCTGGGGGTTAAAGGCATGCTTCACCATACCAGTTTTGAGGTTTTTTTTTTTTGTTTGTTTGTTTTTTGTTTGTTTGGTTTTGGTTTTTTGAGACAGGGTTTCTCTGTGGCTTTGGAGCCTGTCCTGGAACTAGCTCTTTTAGACCAGGCTGGCCTCGAACTCACAGAGTCCGGCCTGCCTCTGCCTCCTGTGTGCTGGGATTAAAGGCATGTGCCACCACTGCCCGGTCTGAGACTTTAATGGGGTTAAGATTAATGTTCAGCATCTCTGTGGCTCAGGGCTCTTCTCTCAGAGGATTTACATTTGCTTAGGGCTCCCAAGTATTCACTGAGTCCTGGTACCAGTGACTTTGGGAGAAAGACTCCACACTCCTCTACCCACACCCTACTTCTCATCCTTATTGCAAAGAGATTTGGCAGCCGCTGGGAAGCACGCCGGTCATGCAGAGGCAGAGCCCCTCCCCGAGATGAGCGGTGAAGCACACACTTACTTGGAGTACTGTTGAGCTCACTTCCTCCTTGGATGACTTCCTTGGAGATGGCTATATTGCTCGTTGTCCCGATCCCTGAGGGGCTGAAGAGGACAGTATAACCATCCACTCACGTTTTATCCTTTATTAATTAATGTAAAGCATATCCATCAAATATTTTATTTATTTATTTATTATGTATACAATATTCTGTCTGTGTGTATGCCCGCAGGCCAGAAGAGGGCACCAGGCCCCATTACAGATGGTTGTGAGCCACCATGTGGTTGCTGGGAATTGAACTCAGGACCTTTGGAAGAGGAGGCAATGCTCTTAACCTCTGAGCCATCTCTCCAGCCCCTCCATCAAATATTTTTATGAACAAAACTTTAGGCGATTCACAGCTCTAGGAGCCAAAAGAATGAGGAGAGGAAGGGTCCTCGTGGAATTTCCTCATGTGTCTTTTTCTCACCAGCTCCTTACCTCGGTCTTTATGTTTCCCATACTATCCAACACAGCAACCGTCTATTAAGTAGCATGTCAGAAGCGGATCTTTATCTCTACAGTAGCTTCCAGAGAACTTGCCCACAATCCTTAAGGTCCACCCCAAAGACCGGGGCACCGTTTTTCTCTTCCCTGGTTCTTTACCTGGTAGAGCTGTTCATTCGGCAACAGAGTCTGCTTGTCCGAAGCTGCACAAGAAATAGACAAAATATACATTTAAAGACAGAATGATAATTGAGTTATTCACACGATAGAATTCTAAGTAGTATGAGAGTCAGCTGCACACAAGAATATGGATCATTCTCAAAAGCACATTGTTGAGCAAAAGGAGCTACGCACAAGACTACGTGTTGCACAAGTCCGTTCCCACAGAACTAGAACCAAACAGAACACCTCTGTAGCCAGAGGTCAGGATAGAGCCCATGCTCAGGGGCAGGTAGCGGCTGGGAGTGACTGTCAGTGGGACTTCCATATGGTGTTGGTAACGCTTGGTTTCTTAAACTGGGTGTCGGATGCACAAGTATGTTTGCTTTGTCCACTTTATTTTAGCTGTATTCTTGTGATTCACTTTTCCATATGTAGGTTTTACTTCAATGAAAAGCTTCCTCCTGGGGGATCAGGGATGCAGATCAGTTGGTTGGGTGCTTAGTATGTGTGAGGTCATGAGTTTGATCCGCAACACAACTTATACAGGACGCGTCGCAGCATATGCTTATAATACCAACACTTGGGAGGTAGAAGCAGGTGGATCGGAAGTGCAAGGTACAGTTACATAAGACTTCTTTTATTTTTTTTAAAGAATGTTTTCCTTCCTTTTTTCTTTCTTTCTTTTTAATATTTATTTATTATGTATACAGTGTTCTGTCTGTATGTCTGCCTGCAGGCCAGAAGAGGGCACCAGATGGGTGTTGTGAGCCACCATATGGTTACTGGAAATTGAACTCAGGACCTCTGGAAGAGCATTCACTGCTCTTAACCACTGAGCCATCTCTCCAGCCCCTTCCTTTTTTCTTTCTTTGGGACAAGATCCCACAATGTAGCTGGCTGGCCTGGAACTTTGTGTATAGACCAAGCTAGCCTCAAACTTAAGGTGACCCTCTTGTCTCAGCTTCCTTAGTGCTAGGATTGTCGATGTGAGCCACTACATTATTAATTCCATAAATAATTCTGTTTTTGAGGTTGGGTCTCACTATGTAACCCTTAGCTGGCCTGAAACTTAGTATATAGACATCAGTCTCGAATTCACAGAAATCTGTCTGCCTCTGCCTCTGGAGTGCAGGGATTAAAGGTGTGCACCGTTATGCCTGTCCTCAATAAAGTATTAAAACACAGAGAGAGATCAAGCATGGTAACTCGTGCCTATAATCTCACTCCTTGTGAAGAACTGCAGGGATCTGAGTCAGCCTGAGCTACATAATGAATTCCAGCCAGGGCTACCTTACAAGACTCTGTCTCAACAACAACAACAACAACAGAAAAAACAATAAGAAAAAATAAATTTAAGGGAAAAAAGGCCAAATCTTAGGCAAATCCCAAATATGCTAGGATAATAAGAAATGTCTTTCCTTCTTGCCCTACAGAGACATAAGATCATCAATTATGAATTAGCAATATGCACCAACAGTCTCCCTGCTGGGTCTATTTTGATAAGAAGGAAGCCAAGGGTCTTAGTTGGTCCCATCTCTCAACTCATGATATTCTTTTTCTTCCAGGACTGGGAATGAACTCAGAGCTTCACAATGCCACCTAAGTGTTTTATACTGAGCTACATTATATAACTATAATGTATATTTATATTATATATAATATGTTTATATTATATATAAATAACTTCAATTATTTATGTGTATTTTTTTTAAAGATAGGATCTCAGGTAGCTTAGACTGGCCTTGAACTCACTCCATAGCTTTGTATGACCTTGACCTTCAGATCCCCCTTTCTCTATCTCCCAAACACTTGGACTACAGGCTCGTGTCACCATACCCAGTTTTATTCAGTGCTAGGGACTGAATCAATTCCGAGCTTGAAGTAGGCAAAGCAGGGCTCTAATACCTGTGACACATCTCCAGCTGCTCCTCTTCATTTCAAGATAGGGTCTTATGTAGACCAGGTTGGCCTCAAACTCTCTATGTGGCCAAAAATGATCTTGAATGTCTGATTCTCCAGCCTCCATCTCTTGAGTGTTGGGATTATAGGCATGTGCTACCACATTTGGTTTGAGCGTTCTGGGGCTTGAACCTTAGGCCTTGTGCAAACTAGATAAGTGGTCTACTAATTGAGCTCCTACCCCTTTACAAATTTAATTTTAAGACAGGGTATTAAAATATACTTATATTATATTATATTATATATAAGGTTGCCTTGGCAGCCTTGAACTCAGGGCCCTCCGGCCTGAGCCTCCTAAGTACCTAGGATTACAAGCATGTAGCACCACATTTAGCTTGATTTACCTCGTGACTGCCGAACTCCATCCTGCCCAGCAATGAAGTATACACCGACAGCAAGGAAGAAGATGCTGATGATTTCAGCAAAGATAAAACCCGATATGGTACCCGAACTGAGCTCAATGCAGTTCTCACACACTGTGGGGAACAAGACACAGGGAGGGCTAGACCTCTCTCGGAATGTAAGGTGTTATTGCATCTTTCCTTTCTTCTGCCCACCACCATCAGTGCCTCTGCCCTGGGCAGCAGGAGCTGCCCTCTCTGTGTGGTATGACGATAGAGTATCCTTGCCCCAAGAACTGTTGCTTGCCAGTGTTCCTCTCTGAGAAATTCCAGGGACGCCTAAACAGTTCTATCAACGGGAACTCAGTGAAGGAGAAGGAAGACCTGATCTCCAGTCTCGACAACCCCGCTCTCCTCTCCACTGCACAGTCCCCCCCTCCTAACTGATTTATTTGCTGAGCCGCTCTAATCCATGTGGTCCACCCAAAAGTTAAACAGGTAGTACAGGGCTGTGCTTTCTCAAGACACTGTGGGAAGTGTCAATTTAAAGAGTAGTAACCCTAGACAAAGAGAACCAGCTATTATTATTACCACAAATCACTGCTTAGCATCTGTCCCCACCTTGTCCCAGACTGGTAAGCCCACCAGAACAGTAAGTTCTGCTGAATTCCCAACAAGCATCGCGAAGGGGTTACATACTTCTGTAATACACTTGGAGTGGCTTTGACTTGTCCTTTGCTCCTTGACACCAGTACATGCCGCGAGGGTCTTTGGTACTGCTTCCTAGATTCCACTTGTTTTTAGTTGCATTCGGAGGGCTTATTATGTTCCCGTCTTTAAGCCACGTGATGGTCTTGTCTTTCAAGTCACACATCAGAAGTACAGACCCATCTCCTCGATTGTCATCCACTTTTACCACATAATGGTTTTCTGGAAAGGGGTAGATTGCGGTTCTGTTAAGGGGCTTTGTGATCGTACCAGAAGACTAGTAGAACACTGTTTCTCCATCATTACGGCGCATGCGAATCACACAGGGACCATGGTAGAATATCAGCTCTTATTTAGAAGTTCTGGGGAGGTGAGGTCTGTTACTCACATGCTAATGCTGCTGGTTCAGTCATGTTTTAAGGCATGCTTCGTTACTAAGATCCTGTTTCTACTGCAAGAACCAGACAATTCATTGCTTAGGTCTAGGTAAGCTGCCCAGAATGGGTCCCAGCAGGACACTGATTTGGTTGATAATGGAAAAGTCAGCTCTCCAACTCTTACCACCTTATCTTTTCAAACTTGTTCCTTTTCTAAATTACAAGACTATTTTTTTTAAATGAATGTGTGTGTGTGTGTGTGTGTGTGTGTGTGCATGTCATGTATGTAGAGGTACCCACAGAGGCCAGAAGAGGGTGTTGGGTGTCCTAGAGCTGGAGTTAGAGACAGTTGTGAGTCATCTTCTGTGGGTGCTAGAAACTGAACTTAGGTCCTCCAGAAGAATAAGAAGTGTTCTTGACTATTGAGTCATCTTCTCAGCCCCTGAGACTACTGTTGTAGGAAGCCGTACTTCTATGGAGTTCCTCATAATTTGAGAATAGAGAGGAACCATTTCTCTTACCTTTTTTTTCCTGGGCCACAATACCTGGAAAGATGGAAGAAAGATAAAGAATCAGTTTGGCATGGGCTTGTTCTGATGGGCCAAGGTATTCACATGGTCACATGAGGTCAAGATCAAGAGAGATACTAGTCCATGGCAATGGCTCCATCTGTGTTCCTCTCCTGGATGTAACCTAAATCACCAAACTCAACTACACATTGCTGTGTTTGGTCTTTGCGCTATCTTTCTGGGTGGGATTTTTCTTTCTTCCTTTCTTTAATATTTATCTTATTATTAGTTGTGTGTATCTGTGTATGAACATCAGAGCAAGTTCATGTGTGCATGAGAATTCAGTTGCCTGTGGAGACAAGAGGCATCAGCTCTCTGGATCTGGAGTTATAGACAGTTGTGAGCTGCCTGTCCCAGATGCTGGGAACCAAACTCTGGTCTTTTGCAAGAACAGTAAATCCTTAACCACTTAGCCATCTCTCCAGCCCTGCTGCATGTGAGTTTCTAAATCTTTGGGATTTCTTGAGTGATGAGCGTGCCTTTGCTGTTCATGGTAGACCCTTGGCTACCCTGACTTTATGCTAAGGAGATGATTTGAGAAGGAGCTGGTAAAGTTTTACCATCTAGGGAATGAAGATTTTGAAGCTGCCATTAATACCAGTGCTTATAAAAATGTGTATGAACGATAATAGAAGACTTCATGATGCAGCTTTTAAAAGTTTGCCATCCATAATGGGGTGGGGATTTACAGGGATACAGCTGTTTTGAGGCTACCCACAATCCTGCAATAAACCCCCCACCCTTTCTCTGTAAATAAACCGACTAAACTGATTCTCTAAGCTGGACTTTGGTGGAATTATTATTTTGATTTGCACCAGTGTCCTACCTGAAGTGAACAGTCCGTTCATGTCTCTCCAAGAACAAGATAGCATAACAAATTGGTGCTCAAACATGGGCGTGGTAGTACCAAAGCACTTGGTAGGCTACAAGAGCCTTTCATGGCTCTTGCTTTGGGTAGTAAGGTACACAACCGAAGCTGAGCATCTGAAGGTGGAACATCACAAGAGCAGTTCCAATATGACGGTCCCTTCCCCCATGTGGAATATAGTGGTGGAAGTTTTTGCTATGATAGATGCATGGGCCTCACTATAGGTAAGGCTGGACCATCAGAAAGTAAACTGTCCATGGGGGATATCCTGGGGTGGCTGTCTTAAGGATTTAGTAAATCTCAGCCAGGAAGTGGTGGCTCACATCTCTAATCTTGGCACTTTGGAAGCAGAGGAAGTGGATCTTTGTGAGTTTGAAGCCAGTCTGGTCTACAAGAGCAAGTTCCAGAACAGCAAAGATTACACAGAGAAATCCTGTCTCAATAGACAAAAAAAATTTAATAAAACTTATAAAAAAATATGAGAGAGGTGTGGATGAACACCTTTAACCCCAACACTTGGGAGACAAGGTGCGGAGATATCTGAAAGTCTACATATTGAGTTCCAGGATAGCCAGGATACATAGTGATACCCTGCCTCAAAGAGACGGGGGGGGGGGGGGGGGGGGGGGGGGGGGGGGGGGGAGCTGGGCAGTGGTGGTGCACGCCTTTAATCCCAGCACTTGGGAGGCAGAGGCAGGCAGATCTCTGTGAGTTCGAGACCAGCCTGGTCTACAAGAGCTAGTTCCAGGACAGGCTCCAAAACCACAGAGAAACCCTGTCTCAAAAAACCAAAAAAAAAAAAAAAAAAAAAAAAAAGAGACGGGGGGGGGGGAGAGGAAAAAAGAAATAATTGATTCATTGATTCTGCTCAAGAAAAAAAGTTTAGTAGAGGAAATGACATTGGCTTACATTGAAGAACAAGTAAAAACTTACCAGATAGGGAAAGGCATTTTGGGTGGGAAAAAATAGCTAATTAAATATGCAGATTTGGAAAAGGTGAGGGAAGTGATAGGGCTCGATGTGGAGTTGGTGATGGGGGAGCTAGTCATGAGTCCAAGTCTAACAGAAGTAGTTGGAAGCATCAACTGTCCTACAACTTCTGCAAGCCGATGCTGTTTATGAATGACACCAGCATACTGCCTAGAACATGGGAGGAGCCCCATCTGCCAGGTGAATGGTTATGGGAATGAATCATGTAGGTGGATACAACAGTTAAATATATTACTATTCTAAAGATATGTTTTATATGTATGAGTGTTTGCTTGATGTGTATATGTGCACCGTGAGCGTGCCTGGTGCTGGTGGAAGCCAGAAGAGAACATCCCAGTTTCCTGGAACTGGAGTTACAGACAGTTGTGAACCGCCTTGTGGGTTCTAGGACTCAAACCCCAGTCTTCTCCAAGCACAGTAAGCATGTTCTTAAGTGCTGAACCATCTCTATGGCCCCAAACATGTTTTTACTAGTCCTTATCTCTAATCATTTGGCTATTGTAAGAGAGCAAGGAGATTCTTCGTTCTGCTCAGAGTCAGTAGGAGCGGAGATGGTAGTGACCGCTGACATTGTTGACATTTGCGTATCTGAGTGTGGTCTCTTCAGACTCAGGAACCCACATAGCCAAATATCCAATAGACTGGTATGAGAATTGAGTTCAGAGGGCAGTGGTGTTTAAGTGTTCACAACTTACTGGTGGCTGAGCTAGATCAGGACTTGGCTTTTCTGTTGCTCAACCTGGTATTCTTTCCAGAGCCTTCTGTCTGACTTTCAGTATTGCCCTTGAGCCTGCGCTGTCTGCAGCTTTCTCCGCTTTCTCTCAGCAAGGCTGCTCCCCTCTCTCCATCTTCTCCACGTCTCCCACTCCACTGTCCTACATGTCACCGTAGTACCATTGCCTCCCTCCCTGCTTTGAGAGCAGTGGTGCTGTTGTGGTCCCGTCCTGCTTCCTGTCTGATGACAAACCCGCCTCCCGAGAGCCCCTGCACCTGCTTTCTGTTGCCCTCACCCACACTCTTGCCTTCCTGTGTGTGCCCTTGACTCTGCCCTCCTTCTTTCCGAATCTACTCTAGACTTTTATTTTGCCTGTTGCCATCTCCTTTAGCTAAAAAATGTACTCACCCATTTTTTAATTTATTTTTATTTTCAAGACAGTCTCTGTGTAGTCCTGGCTGTCCTGGAGCTCTCTCTGTAGACCTCTCTGGCCTTGAACTTATGAAGAGCTGCCTGTCTCTGCCTAGAGTGCTGGGGTTACAGGCGTGTGCCATCACTGCCCAGGCATTGTTTATTTCGTATGCTCCTTTTCTCTTTTACGCCACCTCTTCTGCCTCTCACTCGCATCCTCTACTCCAGCACAGCTCTTACTCCAGCACAGTTCCTACCCTGCCACACTTTATCACCCACCCTCCACCTTTTTTTTTTTTTCTAGCCAGTCTGGCATCCCCTCACACCACTCTACTGAAACTGTGCTAATCAGTCATGATCTTCATTTCACCAAATTCCACAAATTTAAAATTTAACTGTATCCTTATATTAGTGGTTTATGTTTGACATTTTCTACCCTGTTTGTTGTTGTTGTTTTGGGACAGGGTTTCCCACTGTCTAGGCTGACCTAGAATTTGCTATATAGCCCAGGTTACACTGGAACTATTGACTTTCCTGACTCTACCTCCCGAGTACTGAGTTTAGATGCTGCTACATCCAACAAATATTTCCTACTCTTGGCTCCTCACAGCTCCATCCTCAGTTCTTTGTTCTTGACATGTCACAGAAGGGTTTTGTAGTTTCAGCAACTTCCAGGCCTTTAGCAAGGTGTGGTGACTTATGTCTCTATCACCAGCACTCAGGAGGCTGAGGCCAGAGGATTGCCTGTGAGTTGGAGGCCAGCCTGGGCTACATAGTAAGACCCTGTTAAAAAGGAAGGGAGTGGGAACATTGTGATGTGGCAGGTAAAAGGATTTGTTTTTTATTCTAGGCACCACATAGTGGAGAAAGAGACCAGTTCCTTCAGGTTGTCCTCTGATTTCCATGTATGTACTACGGCATGCACATAACGAACAAGCAAACAAATAAATAAGATAATTTTCATGACTTTAGCTTCCCCCAGGGTACCCAGGTTCAGTCTAGTTCACCTACTTCCTGTTGGTGAACTAGTGTGTCTGTATGCACACACAGGTATGCCTATGCTACATCTTGTGCTCAGTGTGTCAGCAGTGAAACCCATCTCTCCAATGACACCTGAGCTCTTGCGAACAGAAGGGTTTGGTTCATCCTTTTCTTCTATGGAGTCTCACATATCTGGATCTCGGCATGCTTGTGGACCGGTTAAACAGCTTTGTGGGCAAATGTTTCATAGATCCACTGACTGTATCCCTTTCTCCCAATTTTCTCACCTTGGCCGTGTCACCACGTGTGACACGTGTGTGTGTGTGGTGTGTGCGCACATGCGTGTGTGTGTGTGTGTGTGTGTGTGTGTGTGTGCGCGCACACGCGCCTGACTGAGCTGAAGGTGGTGATGTGTCCAGGCTGGCTGGCCTGCTAGAAAGCCTTGGGACCCATCAGTCCCTGCCTTCCCAGCACTGTGATGACAAGAGTCAGCCACCATATCCTCCATATCCTCATTTTAAGTGGGTTCCAGGGATCGAATTCAGATTCCCTTGCTTGCCTGCTAAGTAATCACCTTCTGACTGAGTCATTACCCCAGCTGCACGGCCCTTCTGAAGTACATTCAAGCCTAAGATGGCGGCAGTATGATCCTCTCTCTAGCCAGTTTAGCCCTCAGGTCCCTGTGCTTCTTTCTGGCAGAGAACAGCTGGAGGCTTCCTTTTTTGCCTCTCGATGACAGATGAAGATGGCTCAAGGTTAGTTAGGATTCCAATAACCTTACCTCCCCGGTCATGGCCTCGTCTCCTGAGCCTTTCCCAGGCTGTCAGACCCTCGAGTAAACTCTTACCTTGAAGAAGAAAGATCACCAGGATGAGGCCAGTCAGACCCTTCCCCTGCTCCATGTTGATCTCTTTTCTTCTCTAGTTAAAGTGTAGAGGTTCCTCAGCAGCCAGCCAACCAGCCTGTGTAGTTGCTAGCCTGGCTCCTCCCACCCAGCATCCTTTGAGCTGGGGCTCTGAGGAGAGGCAAAACCCAAAAGTGTGGGCACAGGGGCCCCAGCGGGGATGGTGTTGCAAGGCATATCTCTTGTCTTTGTTTGTTTGTTTGTTTGTTGTTGTTAAGACTCATGCGGTGTCTGTCAGGTAGCAGGGAGGGAGAGCGAGGGTTCTGGAGTCCCACTTGGAAACCTCCTTATCCTTAGAACTTCTTTGATAAAACAGATTGAGGACCTATTTGTAGTTGTTGCTGGGACTAGACTTGTTGGTCACTTGATCCCAGAATTCATGGTTTTGGGTAAGGATTTTAGGTGTATAGGGCTGGAGTTCAGAAAGATGGAAAAAACATCTTAGTGTGGACCTTCATTGAGCAATCTTGTCACTGTTCTTTTGGGAACATCAAAATGGAACCTACCTGAAAATAGGTAGGCCCATCCCAACAGGACAGCTAGCATATCTCTTGGGTCACAGCCCTGGGAGATTTCCAGGGTCTCAGGCCATTGTCTCAGTCAGTCAGTCAATGGGTAAGAGAAACTCACAGAACTCCTATGTGACACCGGGCACAAACATAGTTCTGTCCCCAAGCAGATGACCTTCTGACCATGGCAGAGTGGAAAGTTTCAGATCCCCACAGCCTGTTTTAAAAAAAAAAATTTTACTGTCTGCTTAGGAGGCTCAGTTTTACAAGTGAGTGGATTATATCGTTTTTGAAGAATCTCATACTGAGGAGGCTTGAGGTGGCAGGCACTGTGGAAACACCCTCCCCAAATCCTTGTGGTGACACCGAGTGAGACCAACTCTGAAATACTCCATGCTTAGTGCCGTGGGTATTACGTGATTGATCTAGTGGATTCAGATGTCTGGCCGAGGGGTTCTGAAGTCCATGTGGCTAGCAGCAGATTGATTTGGTGGCCCAGATTGCTCCGTGAAGGGTCCCGGGACTGGCTAGAAATGAACGGGAGGAACCGCTAGTGTGGCTTGTGTAATGGGGCTTATAGCTTTTCTCAGTGGATCTGAAGAGGTGGCACTTCCTTGTTTGTAAGTAAATGTAGTGGTGTTGTCAACAGGAAGCCTGACATTTTTTGCATTTGTTACCAGTGGCCCAGGAGAGGCTAATTCCCAATCTCCTTTCCCCTCCTATAAGTCAGAATGGACTTCCCTCATAGTCTCTCCTCGGCCTTCTGCCTTTCCCCCCAAACTCTGCTCCAGAAAGAGCAATGTGCACCTGCTTCCTTCCTACCCCACCCCTGGCCTAGTCTTGCCTTGACAGCCTCCTATCATCAAAGGCAGAGAGTTAGATTTCTTATAGCTCCTCCCCCACTCTTCCTTTTTCTGTGTACCCATGAGCCCGCAGGTGGAGGGTAGTGTTCACCGTGGCTGATTGTACCGTGGCTTGCCTCTATTTGTTGGATGAATTCCTCTGGAAAATGGAACATAGTAGGATTCTGGCTGGCCTGATACTGGCTGCTTTTCTCCCTCAAGGTAAGTGAGGCATCTTCATCTGTGCGGAGGAAGGGACCCCAGAAGGGATGGTGTCATTGGAAGAAGTTCACTGGAAAGGGCATCTCAATGCTGACTTCTGTTTACCAGGCAGGGGAGGGTCAGAAGGGCGGGGTTGGGAATAGGAAACAAGCATTCGGTTTTGACCGACTCCAGTCAAGGCTCACAGTGGTCTTAATGGTATCTCCAATCACCTTGGACCAGACGTCTGTAGAAAACAGTTTCCCATTGCATGTGCCTGGGCCTAAGGCTGGTAATGGAAAAAGTTCCACCCATTGCATCTTCTAAGGCAAACGGCCTCCTGGAATAGGCTCTTGGTCACCGATCATCATTATGTGTTTGTTGTTTGTTTTTCGAGACAGTGTTTCTCTAGCTTTGGAGACTGTCTTGGAATTTGCTCTGTAGACCAGGTTGGCCTCGAACTCACAGAGATCTGCCAGTCTTTGCCTCCCGAGTGCTGGGATTAAAAGTGTGCACCACCACCGCCTGGCTGGCCATTATATGACCACCAGAGCCACAGTTCAGAATTCAGGAGCAATCTTAAAGAAATGTTAACTTTAGCTGAGTGGGAAGGACAGACAGAATAGATGTGATATAAGTCAGCAGATGCCATCTCTTCTCAGTTTGTTCACTTTTAAAACAGAAAATAGGGCTGGGTAGATAGCTCAGGGGTAGATCTCAAAAAGTGCAAGAGTACAAACCAAACTAGCCCCAAAATAACCCTGGAAAGCTCACATCTCAGAGACTCAGCAGTGCCTGGGAAAATGGGTCAAATGGTCACTCTAAAAGTTGTCCTGGCCACCAGCGATTTCTACTGGAAATAACTCCAAAGAAGACAGATAGGACTATAAAGGGGAGGCGTTGTATGCACCTGTGTCTTCTCTCATACAAGCTCCTGCTTTGGAGGCAGGAGGAGCAGCCATTTTGAAGGTTTCTGGAGGCCGCTCTTGCGTTCATATTGGTGACTAAGTATGAAGCTCAGAGAGTCCATCTTTGCTGCTGCTGGTGGTAGACACGGCAGTGCCCTGTGGACTGTGAGATGATCTTGGGGTGTCTAGGAGGGCCCGCTGTGCTCATCTCTGGCTCCTACACCCCCCACAAGACTTGACATAAAGGGAGCCTCAGAAATAGATTTGATATGCTTTTTATTTTTGTGGCCCTTTCTCCTTAAGCAAGTGTGGCACCAAGGTAGGCTAGAAAGACAGGAGAAATTGTAGGGACACAGAATGGAAAGGAACCTGTCACCCCAGAAACTAGTTAGAGCCTCTCACTAGCTGAGGTTTGAGAATTTCAGCACTATTAGCGTTTGCCGTCAAAGTTGCCCCCGTACTGTTCTTTTCCTATACAGGTATTTTGTGTTAAAATAGCAACCAGACAGAAGCCCGAGTGTATACGACCTTGGGGTAGGGCCTCATTCCTCTCTAGAGCATTTTCTAGATCTTCTGTCTTCTGGCATCTCCAAATCTAGACTTTTACTTAATTGTAATTCTGTCAGATGCCCATATCAACCACCCTATGAACTCATTTAGGTTTCTTAGTAACTCTATGGGTAAGAACTTCAAAACCCACCAGAATAGTGTCTATGGCTGTTTGTAAAGACAATGGTGCACCTCTCTGGAAAACTTCTGGGGTGCCTCTTTCATTAACATGTTTACTTAAAATCTATGTTAAAATGCCCTTATATTAATATAATGTAAGTAAGTTATATTAAGATAAGACTCAATTTGCTTCATTACCGGTTCATCTTAAAATTTTCTGTTGAAGTAGAAGATCTGGATCTTACTCGAGTTAAGTTTCCTCAGAGATGAAAGGATCTCCTCAGGCTGCTGCAGGGGACAGTGCCTGTATCTCTGTCCCAGCTGTGCTGACAGAACGACTTTTTTTTTTTTTTTTGGATGGGATCTCCCTTACTCTGTAGCCCAGGCTGGCCCAAGCCTTCTGTCTCAGCTTTCCAAGTGCTGAGCTCATCAATGCAAATCACTGTCTCCAGTTCTGGAGGTCGAGTCTGGGGCACTGTCCATGCCTCTACCATTGAGCTGTGTTCCCAGCGAATCTTCTTACATGGACTTTTCCCTGGGAAATCTGGATCACTGGGCTGGTAGTTCATACAGCTCCTCCCTGTCCCAGAGGTCAGTGGCCCTGGAAAATGCTTTCATAGGGAGCCTCTCATTACTCTGGCTGATACTGGAGTGGAGAAAACAGAAGAGGAAGAGGATGAGAAGTTGAAGTGAGAGAGTTACTGGCTGGGAAGAGGAATTAGAAGTCTTTAGTATAAAAGGCACAATTGGCCGGGCGGTGGTGGCACACACCTTTAATCCCGAGTGCAGCTGGATCTCTGTGAGATTGAGACCAGCCTGCTCTACAAGAGCTAGTTCCAGGACAGGCTCCAAAGCTACAGAGAAACCCTGTCTCGAAAAACCAAAAATAAATAAATAAATATTAAAAAAGAAATAAAAGGCACAATCTCTAGGCTAAGAACATCCTTCTGCCTTCCCAGGTCTCTTGGGGGACCCAGTGGTCTAATTGGGTGGTCTGAATTTATTTTTAAGGAAGGTTCTTGAACCAACTCAGTGGCTTGGTTTTCTAGTTTGCCCCCAAGTCATTCAGGATCCATGTCCTAGTTTGAATTTTATCATAATAAAATACCTTGACAAAAAGCAACTTAAGGGAGGAAGGAATTTATTTGGCTTCCAAGTTCAGGTCAGTCTGTCTTTAAGGGAAGTCAGAGCAGAAACTCAAGTAGGAGCTCAAAGTAGAGGCCATGGAAGAATGCTCTTCCTGGTTCCCTTGCTGGCTTACGCTTGTACAGCTAGCTTTCCTATAAAGCCCAGACCCACCTTCCTAGGGAATGGTGCCACCCACAGTGGTCTGGACTCTTATGCATCAATAAGGCAATTAAGACAATCCTTTATACTAGACTTGTTCACAGGACCAATCTGATGCAAGCAATCCCTCTTCTCAGGTGACTCTAGGCTGAGTTAAAGCTGACAAAGCTAATTGGGATGATCTGTCTTCGGCTTGGACTACAGCCCCATGTCCTTCCTAGCCCTACAGTTTCTGGAGACCATCCTGAAGACTTCCTCTGGTCGCTTCTGCCCTTTCACTAGGAATCATATCGTTTAGCACACAACTGATCCATAAGTATTCATTTCAGCAGAGTGATGGGACACCTACACACCAGAGAGCTGCCTCTGATTATGTTTTTCCTCTTAGGAAGCTTCTTCAAGATAGAAGTGACCGAACATGAGGACCAAGTATTTGTGAATTGCAATACCAGCATTAACTATGTAGAAGGAATGGTGGAAGCATGGTTTGCAAAAAATAAAACACTGAACTTGGGAAAAGGCATCCTGGACCCACGAGGGATATATAAGTGCAATGGGACAGAGGAGTCGACGAAGGAAGAGTCTACCATACAAATATATTACCGAAGTATGTGTCTCCTGGACCCACTGGGATGAAATCATGGGCCCCCTGGATGTGAGAACGTTTCTGGCTAAAAGCAGACTGTGGTGAACCCATTTATTCTCTAAACAAACCAAGGGCACTCATGGCGGTATTAACCAGATTTGTCAGGAAGTGCTTCAGAATGGGAGAGAGTTTGACTAAGGCAGAAGGCAGGGACTGGCTTGGAGGGGGGCTCGGTCCATTCCTCAGTTAAAGTCCCATGAATGTCATGTTTCTCTCCAGCAGCTCCTTGGGATGAGGGTGGAGATGGAAGTAGCAAGGTCATCACCATCTCACTGAAGTGTGGATCTTGGAATGGGGAACCTAGGGTCTTTCTAGGAGCAGAAACAGTTCCCTTACCTTGAAAACTTTCTTCCTCTCCTCCCCCATAGTGTGCCAGAACTGTGTGGAGCTGGACTCAGCCACTGTGGCTGGCGTCATCATCACCGACCTCATTGCCACTCTGCTTCTGGCTTTGGGAGTCTACTGCTTTGCAGGACATGAGACTGGAAGGCTCTCTGCAGGTTACTGGAAGGGCTCTCTCTCTCTCTCTCTCTCTCTCTCTCTCTCTCTCTCTCTCTCTCTCTTCAGTCTTCTGAGGGTGAGGGAGGGTGTGACTGGCTTCAGAGTCCCCCTGCAGTGTTCACAGGTCTCATTGTCCCATCTTCCCCAGCTCCCAATGACTCTCTTTCCTTGCTTCTAGCTTCTAACATTCAAGCCCTGTTGAAGAATGAGCAGCTGTATCAGGTAAGCCCTGAGGGAGGAGTCAAGAATGGGAGAAGGGAGTGAGGACTAAGGGACCTGGAAGGGCGGGTCTGAGATATTTGGAGAGTCCTGGGGGGCAATGTCTCATCCTTGGATGTCTGGAGAAGTCAGGTGTGGGTACCAAGAAGAGTTCAGATGCTAACTAGGTGTTGTGTTTCTCGTCTCAGCCTCTCCGAAATCGTGACGATACCCAGTACAGCAGTCTTGGAGGGAACTGGCCCCGGAACAAATGATCCTGAGACCGGGAGACTGGGGCTTCTCAGAGTGTCATTATCAAGTGTGCCTTCCCTTTGTGCTCAGCCAATAAAGCTGTGTTCTTTCAGTCAGCAGGCACCTGTGTTTTACAAGGCATGGGTTGGGGGTTGTCCTAGCTTGGCTATGGTCTTGCCCACATGTGGTCTCCCTTCAGGGCTTCCTTTCCTCAGTCCCACACAGGCAGTATTATGGACAGCTTCCTGTCCATCCTGGCTTGTTGGTGTTTCTAACCCGGTGGGTTTTCTGTGGGGAGGGTCAGCCTAGCCACTCTCCTTCAGCTGCATGTTGGTTCCAGTCCCTAACATAACAACTCTTTGGGGTTTTGCTGCCTTACCACAGCTGGGGGTAGGCCGCCGTGTTTAGAAGCTGAGCCACAAAAGTTTCCATGACATCGTGAACGGGGGTGGCATAGCACCAAAGAGTATTGGGACTCAGAGGGTGTGCGTGCAGGCGTGTGTGTGTGTGTGTGTGTGTGTGTGTGAGAGAGAGAGAGAGAGAGAGAGAGAGAGAGAGAGAGAGAGAGAGAGGAAGAGGGAGGGGGAGGAGGATCTACTAGGCTTGTGGAGCAAACTCCTTTACCTCCTGAGCCATCTTGCCCGCCCTGCTCCCCAAATTATAAAAAAATAACAGAACGAATCTAAGATAATTCTCTCAGTGCTTTACTGTCTTGCACTGTGCAAATTCATTCAGATTTGGACCTGAACACACAGCGTTTGCACCAGGCATTTGTCCACTGTCAGGCTACTCAACACCAATCAGCATTTCCTGAAACGCCTTGTTTGAGACCCTCGAACCTTACTGATCTGAATGGCACTGTTGTCACTGTACATTCAGTGTCCTGCCCTTGTTGAAACACAGTGGTTTCACATGGAAACAAACGCTTCTAATATTTTCCCACCATCCTCCCTCAGCATCTAAGTATCAAGTGAGTACATATCAGTACTGTGTTAGGACGCTTGATTTTCAAATTGTTTGAGCTGCTGGGCTGAGTTTCAAAAAGAAAGTTAAATGAGTTTTAGCTTGTGAGCAGAACAGAATTTCCTCTAAATTTTGAAATGACCCTAGGTATACTTTGCTATTTTATAGAACATATTTATGTAAAATGGTGTTCTCACCATGGACAATCATAACATTTTTAAAGATTGGAGATTGAGTTTCATGTAGCCCAGGGTAGTCTCAAACATATTATATAGCTAAGGGTGACCTGCAGCTTTCGTTTTCAGTGTTGAGATTATAGGTACATACCACCACACCTGGTTTTGGCAATGGCAAGGGTCAAAACAAGACTTCATGTACAGTAGGCAAGCACTCTACCAACTGTGCTAAATTCCCAGCCCTAAAAATATAAATGCTGATCAATTCTAAAAACATTGATGATGCTAATATGTTCTTGATATAAAATATTCAGCCAAGATTTTTCTTTATTCAGAAATAAATGAACATATCCATCTTTCATCTTAAAATAAAGACATCTTTTTTGACATTTTTATTTTTAATTAAATGTGTGTGTCTGTGTGTGGGTTTGTGCAGTACCAGCAGGGGCAGAGGAGGGTGTCTGATTTCCCAGACTGGAGTTACTAGAAGAGGGTACCGGGAGCCAAACTCAGTTCCTCTTAATCATTGATCCATTTCTCCAGACCCCCATCTTTCACCTTTAATAAATGGTAACACACACATACACCAAAGAATTGTTTTAATTTTTGTAATTAAAGATATTTGCACATGCCACATGCCCATGTGGAGGTCAGAGGAAAGCTCTCAGGAGTTAGTTATTTCCTTCCACATGTGAGTTTCTGGGGGAAATCTGTCTTCAGACTTGGCAGTACACCACTTTACAAACTGAGCCATCCTGCTGGCTCCCAAAACTTTTTTTAAAAATAAAAATGCTTATGATTTACTGTTGGTAAATATTTGATTTGTATACCTGTTTTATATACCTGTTTACCCAGGGTTGTGTAAAAAATTCTTAAGCGAAAAGGGGTTTTGAGTAGAAAAACAATCTAAGAAGCCCTGAAATATTTTCTATATTATTCAAGGAATGTATCAGTTTAATTTAGGCTGTGAAATTTATTGACCTTAAAGTTGTTATACTGTTAAGGACTTGCATATTGGTGCCCTCTCCCAGTGATTCATTTTTTGAGACAAGCTCTCTTTATGTATTCATGGCTGGCTTGGACCCTGCTCATGGTCTAGGCTGCCTTAAACTTGCAGCAATCCTTCTGCCTCTTGTTCCCAAGTGTTGAGATTACTGGAGTCTATGGCCACACCCAGCCTATCTCATCTTTGTTTTCCCCAACTCAGATTATTAGAAGATGGAACCTTTGTACGAGGTTTAGGTGCTGAGGACAGAACCCTCCCGAATGGGATTGGCGCAATCACCCAACAGGCTTCCACGATTGCTTGCCTCTTCTGCCATGGAGCCTCCAGCTCTTCCCGGTGCCTTGTGCTATGAAACTGTAGCAACTATATCCAACTCTGGTGGCCACAAGGCTTCCTCTAGATCCTTCCAAGTAACTGCAGTGTTTTCTGTGTGTTGCTCAGTCTTCAGCTGAAGATAGGAGGGGCTCCTCCTCAGATGGTTAGACTCCTATGCTCTCCAAAAACACTACAAGTCTTGCCCTCTGTCTCTGCCTGCTTGCTTCACAGAGATCTCTAGATTCTGCCTTGGTTCTCCCCCCACCCCCACCCCCAGCCAGCCTGCCTATTAGCCATTGGTGATGGGCAAAATCACCAAGGCCTAGAAAGAAAAGGTGACCCGTCAGTGGAGAGCTGTCTACTAACAAGTCTGAGGCTGAGCGAGAACAGCATGCAGAGAGCAGCCCGTCTCAGAAGCCAGATGTCGTGGAAGAAGAGCCCTGAAGTTGCAGGGATGTGTCTAATGGCAGAAAGGGAGAGAAGCGAGCCTGCTGGTCAGAGCTGGCTTAGGGCAGCTTGTCTGGGCTCTTGATTCCGCTCTCCTGCAAGCAGCGTGTGTGGGAAACTGAGAACCAAACCCTCTCCCCACTGGCCTCCAACAGTCTGCTCTCTGGCTGCCACTGCACCTCTCTCAACCTCACTCCCAGCGCAGCCCACATCCTGCTGCTTAACCACTGTCTGGGGCTTCAGGCAGCTGCCTCCAGGGCAGGAGCCAGCTGAGAGCTGAGAGCTGCCTGTGTTCCCTCTGCTCCCTTCAGCAATGTTTCCTGACAGCTGGTGGAAGCGCTCATCTCAGCTCCAACTCCCTCTGCACCCTCCCTTCTTTTCTGGTACCACCACCAACCTTTCAGGTCCCCTCCATCTTATTCATTTTATGGACCAACCACTCCATCAGCTCCATCAGCCCCCCCCCATCACTCTCAACACCTTTGGTGATTTGATGCATGTGGAGGGCAGTGAGTGCCCACCCCTTCCAATTGGCAAGCACTGTATTGAGTCCCTGGGAGAGTCTGAATTGCTTTAGGACACAGGCTGCTTCTTAGGACCTTCCAGAAAAAAAGGCACAGTAACTTTTCTAGTCAACACACTTTATTTCTTTGCTACTAGCGGAGAGGATTCTGGTATATTCACAGAAATGCAGATGACTATCTAAAGATTTAAGATAAAACCTGGAAAGGGGCTCACAGCACCTGCTGGGCTAGCACCTCCGCCAAAGATCACCCAGTCCATTCCCAGAGAAGGGTGTAAAACATAGTTGGAAATACAGAAAGCTATAGGGAAGGGCTGGGGAAGAGGGCCAATTTATATGCAGGGAAAGGAGGGGACTGGCGGCAAAGATAACATCTGTGCAAAAAAGAAGGAGCTGGCAGGTACTGGGGGGCTGGAATAAGCATCCCGACAACATGGCTGGCTGAGGGTCTGATCACCATGATGCTTCAGAGGATAGCAAGGCAGCAACATCCCAGTACTGAACACTAACAGAGGAGGCAGGAGAGGAAACAGAGGCAAGGTTCCAGAACATGTTCACCAGATGGCTGAAGAACAATTCTGTGGGGTCCACAATTTGTCCAGAGAACAGGGAATAGCAGGATGCTCAGAGGGCTGGGTCTGGGTCCACAGAAGGCAGCGTCTCTTCTTTCTGTCAGACTGCTCTCTGATTCAGGCCGGAATACAGGTCCCGCTGGGCTTTGTGAATGGGCTAAGGGTGGAACAGGAGCGGTGATTAGGGAGGAAGGAGATAAGGAGGAAGAAGCGCTGGGGTGTAGGCTGCCGGCAGGGTAAGACCTCTGGGCTTGGAGTCAGGGGAGTCTAGTTGTAACTTGGTACAGATTTGAGCCAGCCACCTCCTTCTGGAAGCCTCCTACCCAGTAAGGGAGATTGTAAAAACTCGTCTCTAGCACTTTTGTCAAGTTTAACTGGAGTTCCTGAGGGAACACTAAATACCCCATTCCTGATGCTCAAATTTTGTTCAATTTGTCCAGCGTGATAGAGAAAAATTTTAGCAATTGCTAGTGCGCGGTCACAAAGAAGGCAGCCCCGGTGCCAGGTATTAAGTCAGATGGTGGCCTGGTGGGGAAGAGAGCTAGAGTGCCTGACTGTGCATGCATGTGGTGTGAGTGTGTGGTGTGTCATGTGTACATGTACACGTGGTATGTATATGTGCATGTGTGTGTGAGTGTCCATGTGTGTGTGTGGTGTGTCATGTGTACACGTGCACGTGGTATGTATATGTGCATGTGTGTGAGTGTCCATGTGTGTGTGTGTGGTGTGTCATGTGTACATGTGTATGTGGTGTGTATATGTGCATGTGTGTGTGTGTGTGTGAGTGTGCACGATGGAGGGAAACTAGGGGCTATTTGCTCATCAAGCACCGCCCTATTTTAATGACCGGTTGACAGCTCTGGCATCTGCCAGAACACCATTCTCATCTATCAGGTTAGCATTTCCGTAGGTGTTATCCTCCATGGCCGAATCTCAGACAACCAACAAGTGAGAGAAAGAGAGATGTCTCCCTTCCTCTAGTCCCCTGCCTCTACAAGGTTGTGGAAGCCAAACAGCCTTGGAGATAGTCCTGAATAACATGAAGAAGGTGGAGAAGGCACAGGGGTAGCCTGTCTGGGAGCCCTGGGTGTCTTGCAGACAAGACGGACCGTGC